AAATGATATGGTAATGTTTTTATATTGTATGCCCATAAGATAATGTTTTGGAATGGTATATCCCTGCTAAAGAAATTGTTGAATATTGTATGCTTATTATATGGTATTGAATTAATATTGTTTGCCCATGATGTGATAATGTCTAATTATTGTATGTCCATGATGTAGTAATATTTAAATATTGTAGTAATATGCCTCTGAGGTGGTTATCTCCAAATATTGTATGCCCTTGATGTAATGTTTTAATATTGTATTCCCATGGTTTATTAACTTTTTAATATTGTTTTCCCATGGTGTAGTAATGTTTAAATATTGTATGCAGATGGTGTGGTAATATTTAAATATTATATACCCATGGTGTAGTAATGTTTTAATAGTGTATGCCCATGGAATAGTATTTGTTTAATTTTGTTTGCCCATGGTATAGTAATGTTTTAAAAGTTTATGCCCATGAAATGGTATTGTTTTAATTTTATATGCCAATGGTGTGGCAATTTTCTAATATTGTATTCCCATGGTGTTATAATGTTTTAATATTGTATGCCCATGGTGTAGTAATGTTTGAATAGTGTATGCCCATGAAATGGTATTGTTCTAATTGTTTATGCCCATGAAATAGTAATGTTTCAATAACATATGCCTATGGTGTAATACTGTTTTAATATTGTATGGTCATGATATAATAATGTTTTAGTATGGTATCCCCAAGATGTGGTAATGTTTGAATGGTGTATGCCCATGATGTGGTAATGTTTTAATATTTTATGTTCATTTTGTAATGGTTTAGTATTGTATACTCATGATATACTGATGTTTTAATATTGTACTCCTTTGAAGTAGTTGTGTTAGTAGAATGTTTATAAAATTGTATGCCTATGATGTGGTAATCTTTTAATATTGTATGTCCACGATAGACTAATGTTTCAATATTGTATTCTCATGATGTAGTAATTATAGGTTACTGCATTTGTATTGGAAAATATGAACGGGTTTTTCGGATGGTTATACTACACAACTTTGGGAGTGTAGTGTATCCATCCGACAAATTGAGTTCATATTTTCCCACGCAAATGCAGTAACCTTTTTATTATATGCTCATTTTCTTATTCTCCCCAATGCTTAAATATATAAACAAAAATACACTACAATAAACAAAGTAACCGAATGCATGCCGTTTTCCAAACTAAATATACAAGCATAGCTGCATCATTACACAACTGGCGCACATAAATCCGCCCTGGCAAAGTTGAAGTTGGTCGCGCGCTAGTAGTAAGTTTCAAAAGAAAATGGCGTTTGGTCTACTTAAAATTGAAATTTGGAGTAATATTGTTAATGAATACGCATTGCAACAACTTTTCTATTTCATCTGGAATGAATACGTTTTGGTATTTTGTCGATTCAATGCAATTTTGTGATTACGGTCTAGATTTATCTACATGAAGTAACTTATATCGGATTCTAGCATCGGCATGCCTGTTTCTGTTCTGTCGTTGAATGATTCAGATCATAATGTGGGAAAATTGTGAAGCTTTTCAATTGCAATTATTGAAAAGATGCTGTGGAATATAAAAGTTCGTTTCATTTTGAGTGCAGTAAGGAGGATGTAATTGCACTTGAAATATACTCGAAATTAAAGTACAATTTCGAACTGTGATCAACCTTGAAAACCCATGATATGGCTCATATAATTCAGATTTGCAGAACTAAGAAAGTACATTTTGAGGAAATTCAGGTTGTAAAATTGTAAGTATATTTTTGCTATTTTTTATTACCAGCTAAAGAAGACAGTTCATGTCTTATTACTTGGCGTCCTATTGTTAAAACCCTCTATGGCGTCTATAGGTAGACTAAATCTGAAACATTTGTATCCAAAAATTAAAAGCAGAATGTGCCAAAGCAGTATGTATGTGTCAGTCTATAAAACATTTGCTGGTATGTGGCAGTCCATGAAATATCTGCTTTAGTTTATTCATAAAAATTGTTTACGTTAAAAAATAGTTCCTTTATTTAGTGGCATCTAATGTGAATGTTGCACGAGGCGTACAATACCGGGAAATACTGAATGAATCTCACAAGGTAAAGTTAAAGGAGAAATAAACGAGGATATGATAATGTTTTAATATTGTATACCCAAAATGTAATAATGTTTTAATAGTGTGGTCCCATCATGTAGTAATCTTTTAATATTTTATGCCCATGAAGTGGCAATATTTTAATTTTATATGCCCATGATATATTGTTTGAATATTGTAATGTGGTAATGTTTTAATATTTGTATATTGTGTCTGGAAGACATTTACGATGCTCACCAAAACATTCTCATGGTGCTATAAGTAGAGTAACAATGGTCGCACGAGCGACTAAAATTGGCATTTATTAGTGAAGAATGTCAACCAGACGACTACCATAAGAATGATTATGCGGAAATTAGAAAATGACATCAACTCTTTCCAAGTAGAAGCAAAATACCACGCTTTGCACTAAAAAGGATATGAAATTAATTCAGATAAACAGTTCCATTAACAAAATAATCAAGGTAGTAAACTAAAATATTTTCAAGTAGTTATTAGAAGGCGTAGTTACTGTAAAAGCACTCAAAACAACACCGACCAATATGAGTACAACTGTTTAAAAAATCACCAACTAAATACTGACTCTGTATCAAGGAACGTCCTTAGCAAACGAGGGGCGCGATTTTGATCATTTGACTGTTCCCCCTACTCCTGATTTACTCGCAAAGACCTTGTCAACGACAACGACAAAGTGACATTTATTTATAACCACATCATATAAAACATCCCACCCAAAAATGCTGGTGTTGGAATTATTTTTGATTAATATTTTTAATATTCATGCACTCTAGTCCCACACGATACAATATGATATATTCCATTTATTTTTTCAAATAAATTATATCGTGACAATTTGATATGGTGTTTGTGACCAAATAAATCATGGAACGTTATTCTAAATCACCTTAAATAGTGACAAATTTTGTTTTGAGTTTGTTGTCTTTTTTAAATAAGCGACTTGACTTTCTTTTACAGACGTAAAATACAATACTGCAAATCTCCTAAGTTTTATTTTCTATAAGTGTTCTAAATATATTATCGCTGATAGGGTGTTGCGAGAGATTTGCAGAAACCCATGTTGTGGTAATCAATGTGCACAATCTTGTTTCTATTGATGTTTCGAAATTAGAAACCTTTCACTTGAAACAAAGGACCTGCTGTGTAATTAATAGTTTTAGAGTTAATTATAGAATTGCCTTAAAAAAACACCACCACTACTACTACTACTATTACTACAACTATTACTACTACTACTACTATTACTACTACTACTACTACTACTACTTATTATTATTATTATTATTATTATTACTATTATTATTATTATTATTATTATTATTATTATTATTATTATTATTATTATTATTATTATTATTATTATTATTATTATATACATCGCATATGAAAACAACAAAATATGCAGAAAAAATCATTGTTTTATAATCACAAAGGTAACGTTATTCACTTTTAACCATAGATACCGTGTATATTTATGTTTTTGTACTAATGCTAGAAAATGTTTCAAGAACGCCAGTAGTGTAGCAAGGAAACGATATCAATTATGATGCGTATTGACATATTAAATACGGCCATACTTCATTAGACGTTTCATTTTATAAATATGTTAGTTGACACAGGGATTCTGTTTTATTTTGTAATTTGATTTTTTGTTATGTTTCAAGAGATGCATTATTGTAATTATGATAAACCTTACGAAAAATCTATACTTAAGAAGAAATTAAGCTAGCACACACACACACACACACACACACATACACACACTGTTTATGTTTTAGAAAACAAACACCTGCAATTCTATTTATTACATTTGTTTGATCATGGGTGCACGTGTCAACTCAAGGACAAAGGAATTTATGCACATCTGGTATGGAGAGGGACTACTGACATAAATCTATGCATGTATGTATAGTTAGTAGGTGCTGCATGTTATATTCTGCTTTATTCTGTTTTGAAGTTTATTTGTACATCGTTACTTCTGCCACTATTTCTTTCTAAGTTTGATATGCGTGATATTGAAATAACGCAATTTCATATCTTCAATTTGTTCTTATGAGTTCTCTTTTTATTCTAATATTATAATATAATGGATTGTTCAATTGTTTTAAGAATTGATATTTATTGTATTTGTGATAATGGTAAAAAGATTAAAATGGTTATCGACTTATGTTTAGATTTAATTTGGAAATTTAAATATCCTTTAAGGAATAAAGAATAAAAAAAAACAACCTTATCATAATATAATTATCGAGTAAGACCAGTAGAGTTTTTTCCCAGTAATTATCACAAACTAAAAGTTCCCATGACCACCCCAAAACAGCACAAGACTGTCCCAAAACACCCTCAACTACCCAGGATACATGTAGGCAATTAAATAAAATCAAACCAAATAAAAAGAGAGTGATGAGTAAAATTTTGTGCTGTATAATTATCGAGTAGGATCAGTCGAGTCTTTTCTCTTGTTTTATCTTGTTGATACTTGCTTAAAGGAATGACCCTTAGACTATCCCAAACATGCTCATCAGCCGAGGATACATGAATACAATTACAATGACTTGATGAAATATGCAGTTCTCTCTCTCTCTCTCTCTCTCTCTCTCTCTCTCTCTCTCTCTCTCTCTCTCTCTCTCTCTCTCTCTCTCTCTCTCTCTCTCTCTCTCTCATACACACACACATCATCATCATCATCATCATCATCATCATCATCATCATCATCATCATCATCATCATCATAGTTAATTCACTAAGCTACTTTTATGTTGCAAAAAGCAGCGCACTTAACAAGTTAGAATCAAGCGTCACTACATTCATACTTCAAAAATTCTTTAAAGTTTATGAATAATTAGAACCTAGGGGTGCTATATTTGTTTTTAATTCTTGAACCAATTTATTATTTTTAATTACCGCTCCGGTGGCCTAGTGGTTAGAGTGTCCGCCTCGGATGCGGGAGGTCGTGGATTTGATCCCCTGTTTCGTCATACCAAAGACTTATACAATGGTACTAACAGCTGCCTCGCTTGACGCTCAGCATTAAGAGGTTAGTGGTAGGACTGGTCGTCCTAGTGTTGGGATATTGTGACTGGGTGAGACATCATGCTACATGTCTGAAGCATGATGTCCCAAAAGTTAAACATCACTATAAACTGCCACACTGCATACATCGTTGCGATATGACTGAAAAATTGTTAAAGCTACGTTAACAATCATAATCACATCACATTATTTTGAATTGTTTTGATAATGGTAGTAAACATTTTTATCATAATATCATTTCTTACAATTTTATAATTTCGGCTTTTGCGACAAAATATGTTCCAAACTGAAGAACAAAAAAACCTTTGGTAATGCTTAAATTTTTTTAAATGTCATTTTACATATAAACTTTTTATGCGCTATTGATGTTGCTGTGAAATATTATAGCTGGAGCTTATGTACAATATTATCACATGATTCCAAAGTAATGAGAGATAGTACTAAGAAGTAGATTTTTATACGGTGAAAGTATTTGCTTAAGTGCGTCAAAGCTGTGTTTGAAGATAGACTACCCTGATGCAGTGTTTTCGTAAGGTGGTATAAATCACTGTTATCTTCGAGAAAGCACATGGTTTTTGAGAACGATTAAAAACTTCGTTGCTAACGTACACCTTACGAAAAGGGACTGAAAGAATTACAATATTTATCGACACAAAATGAATACCGTAAAACTCTGAGAAGCGTTAATTATTTCTGTAAAAAAAAACTTAAGAAATTTAGAGCGCTATCTGTTGTCATAATGTCATGCTAATCTGTAGTATGTCATGACAACAGATGGCGACACGAGTTGGACAACAAAGAGGATACTGATAAAACTTAGTATTTCATTGTTGCAAGGCCAAACATGTATAAAAACATCAGTTAAAATGATGTAATTGTAATATGGTAAGTTTATAAATAGAATATACAAACTTGTAATAACTGACAGCGTTTGCCATGCGACAACCTACATAATTAATTCAGTAGTTGGCAAGATACCATGACGCTGAAAGAAAGTAAAGCTGGTCACTTGCAAGCAGCTTTTTACAGTTTGCATCAATGAGGAATAAAAAAATTCATGACTAGAATTATGAATGTAGCACTTGCAAGTAGCCATTTACAATAATGGAGAAGGAAAGCAGAACTTGTAGAACTTGCAAACTGTCACATAAAATATACATGGATATAATTATGAAAGAAGCACTTGCAAGCAGCCATTTACAATACTGCATGAAGGAAGATTAGAAACTACATGTATAAAATTATGGCGGTAATGCCCCTCCATAGAAAAATGGCGTTTTGTTTAACTGCACTTTTTGACAAATTGTTATATGCAAAATAGCAAATAGCATCCGTCTTTAGACCTCTCCCCCCTGGAAATGTTACTAGTGCAATACTTATCGGTGTCATAAAATGAAATCTCTCACTGCAAAAGAAACTTTAGATTAAAAATATTTACGCGTGTAATGAGAGAAGCATCTAGAATATCTCACATGAAATTGGATGACACTGAAATTGCGTAATAACTCACTTTAGAAATGCAGTAATAAATATTGGCATATGTAAAGATGCCGTCTAGAATGTACATCGTACATACACAGAAAGTACAAAATAGGATACAGGAAAATAGAAAGCACTGCGTATACTAATAAAATACATGCAAGGAATTATGGCAGTAATCATCCTCCATCTACCTCCATGTACAAAGTATACTCGTGCATATAACATTCACCTTGCCATCAATTCGTATTTGTGAAAAGGTCGAGAACGCTTTTACGTCCCAAGCTTATATATCAATAACAATACGGGAGGCAGATTGTTTACACAAATACCTAACGGTTCAGTGGGTTAAAACAAACATTACCAGGAAAAAGAAGGTGCAGCCTACAGAATTGAACTTTTTCAACGTCTGCATGACTCCCAGTGTGCGACTGCCCAGCCCATCCGTCCGTCACATAATCTTATGAACACAAATAGCCCCCCCCGTTTTTTGTGTTTTGCTATTGAAATTGGTAAATATATTGATTATGATCTGAAGATGCATATATCGATAAACCACTTTGCTTTTGCATTTGTTTAGGAGCTATTAGAGTTATTGCGCTTGTTGTCATACGACTAAATAGAGCGTATGACACAATCACGTGAACTCGACCTGTCTCACAGTTTTAAATGGATCTCTAAAAAAACCCTTTAAAAATGTTATGGCCAGCATCTGAATAAACACATAACGACAAATCATTTTGCGTCGGTAACTTTTGCTGATAATATTAAATATATAATAACACACTTAATTTTAGAGGATAAGGCATTTAGTTCTGAATCAATGAGCATCTCGTGTATGTAGTCCTCAATAATAGAATATTAAAACTATAACTGTAACGTATATGTACAAAAATATTTGTACTTGCTACAGTGTCTGACAGATTCACATGGAATTTGTACATACGTACGCATACAAAGACTTACTTGACATTGGCATAATGAGAAAGAAATCGAGTATTTATAGTTGTTAAATATCACAAAGAATAATATTTCACAACACTGCTATATAATATGTTGATGTTTTGTGCACAGTCGTTTCTAATTCAGGCAAATGAAAATCAGAGAACAAAATAGACGTTAGATCATGTGAATGAGTATTGAAATATGGAATTAAGAGATCGTTAATATGTTGTGGAACCTTGTTACAAAAAGGTCCATATGTCAAAATATATTGAAAGTACGTCCATATGTCAAAAGTACTCTTTAGCTCTATAATCAAATGGTAACACTATAAATGAACTATTTCTCTTTTATACTTTAATTATCCGATAAAAATCAGTAGCACTGTGATTTTCCAGTATGGTGCAACTATTTTAAACGAGAGATTATATATATATATATATATATATATATATATATATATATATATATATATATATATATATATATATATATATATATATATATATATATATATATACATATCCAGTATGACAGTTTTAAAATATAATATATTCTGACACACGCAAAGACCGTCTCTTCAATAAACCAGTTTATTGAAGATACTGCACACCACACGAGTTTTTTTATGTTCATACAACAAATGAATGTTAATAATACATGAATATTTTCATTTTGGCTGTATTTAGTTCTACAAATATATCACAAGACATCCTCTAATTCCGTTACCGTTTGCCTTAGTTCAATTGTTATACCGTTATTTTGTTTCCGCTTTTATTGGTATTTAATGTTAATTTCACGTCACTATTTAAAATCACTAACGTTCTATTGTAAATTTTGTTAAGAGACGAGATAGTTTTACTCGTGACAGGTAAGAATGTGTCGTCTTCAAATGTTAGTTTTAAACGCATTCACATGAAGGTGTAAATCATTAATGAAATGGGGAACGAGTAAAGGACCAGGAAATGAGCCTGAGATAACCCACTTTTGACGTTTTGTAAAGAAGTTGTAGCATATGCTTTAGAAATTCACTGTACCACCCCTTGTTAGGTAAGAATCAAGTAAATTACGTGAATATCAAAGACTGTGTTCGCCTTTAGTTTATTTGATCATTATTTTATGATTTAGCAAATCAAACTCTTTTTAAAAATCTAAATAAATAAGTCAAGCAGTTTCATGGATTCCTTTATTTCAGAGTTGAAGACGTAAGATTGAGCCATTCTCTTGACCTTTTGCATTTAATTGGATCATGTCGGTTTAGGACTGCAATAAAAAGTGCATCAGAGTGTTGTACCTCAAGGTCTGATGTAAATGTAGGCTGATTGCAATAAAAATTGCAGCCCAGCGTTGTACCTCAAGGTCTGATGTAAACGTAGGCTGAGTGCAATAAAAAGTGGAGCCCAGAATTGTACATCAAGGTCTGGGGTTCAAAATTAGGCTGACTGCAATAAAAGTGCAACCCAGCGTTATATATCAAGGTTTGGGTTTTTAAACTTTCCTGACAATAATCTAGAGCATATTTCATTTTGTCGAAAAGGTGTTGTAATGGAAACGGGTAATAGAATCGGTATTGTTTTGTGGTATGGTGTTTTCAAAATGTTTTCCAGTTGATTCTTTGAAATAATTGTTCCTGTTTTACTTGGTATCTATTTTATACGGCTTAACATTTTATTAATATCCTCCATTCGTTAACGACATCAACACTTCCTTTACCAGACCATCTCTAGGGGTCGTGTTTGTTAATATTATAAATGTCTACATGATGAGACTACATGTATGTAATATATTTAAAAATGTCATTTTAATCGCATTTTCGTTATAGTTAACCCATAACACCTTCCAATGGACCACAGGGAAGTGTCCTAAATGATATCACAGTAACAGATGATAACACATGGGCAAGCTATGTGTCATGTTTGGTGAATTTCCGTCCGGTGGTTTACAATTAGGTAGAGCTACGAACGGTTGCACGGACTGGGTTGTATTACGATAACTCCTGTAATACGCTGAGAAATAATATAATCTCTATCGGGTTTATACGGTGACAAGGAAACTCCAACAAAAGGGTTATATTAGGCACAACCTTGTGGGGAGACAAATAATGTAACCCCGGGACTGGGATTTCCTTGGTTCCAACACCGATACAGGTTATTTTTCTCACCCATTTTTTTTTCCAATTAAGTTAAAATAACCCTGCACCCGTGCAATTTAGTGAACAAAGTTAGAATATAGTATTCATCAAGCAGTATTATTGCTTTTCACTCTGCCTAAGGTCATCAGGTTTTGTACTCTTTTATGAAAATATGAATAATTATCTACCTAGAAACTAGACATATATTCCACTCTTAGAAGAAAAAAAAACATAAAGGAAAAAGTTACAATTGTTATGTATTTATACTGCGCATTAAGACGAATAAGTTGATACGAACATTCGTGTGACCTGTCGACCCCATAGTACACAAGTTTTACCGTATGAGAAAATAGAAACATAAATTAATTTCATATTATTACTGTATTATCACATTTAATCGATGGATATCATATGAAAATGACAATAAATAATGAATAAGTTTCATTCGGTTAAGTTTTAACTTTGATTAGTTCTAATTTGGAAAACGTTCTATAGCAGTTCTAACATATGGCTACTTATTACAGTTCTAACGAAGTGTGTAGAGACATCAGGAAATTTCTAATTCGTGATTTTCTCGGAAATTTATGTTGTGTCCTGGAGATATGGCAAGTGTTGCTATCACTAGTGCAAGGATACGCTACATGGAAATCTTTCTGTGGAAAAGCATGTCCACTAATAAATGAATCATTCAGGATGGTAAGTGCAGGAGCTTTCATTTGCAATCGCTTTATTATATTTGATTAAGCTGGGGCTGATGGTGGGTATTTGAGAAAGTTAAAATAAACCAGTTGTTTGACATAACAAATTTATGATTTTTGCAGGATTTGCAGTAGCACTTGAGAGAGTTTGATTTTGTGTGGCCAGTGATGTGTAATGCCTGTGTGTCTGGAGTTCTACTAAATAGCTTGACGTGTGTGTGTGTGTGTGTGTGTGTGTGTGTGTGTGTATGTGTGTGAGTATGTTTTGTATGGTTTTATCAAAGATAGAGGGACCTTTAATTATTTATGAAGTAATTTTTTTATGTTACATGTCTGTCGTTGCTGTTGCATTTTAGAAAGACTCCGTCAGGCACCACAGACGACAGTAAGGGTTTCTTTTCAAAAGTAGTTCTTAGCGCGTGAACTGAGACGACCGATCTGAGATAACCAGACAGAGATACAAAAAGTTAGGTTAGCAAAACATGTAGTTTTGTCTATCACATGAGTGAGAAATAAAACTACCATACATAAATGTTAAGAATGGGACGCATATGTACACTTAATTTACTTTAGTTATGGATCAAAATGCTAAAAGCTGGTCCCGGGTGGACCAATGGTTTTAAAGAGTTCGCCTTTACCGATCTCTTCCATCTCACCTCGGTCATAGTGGGTTTGAGTATCGGTCTCGGCCAATGGAGGTATGTGAAAAAGCTTACCAGTTTCTCGTGGGTCGGTGGTTCTTGCTGGGGTTTTCCAAGGTTCTTCCTATATCAGTTAAAATGGCCACCATATATAGCCAATCATACGCTGAAAATGGCAATAAAATCATAAACAACCAAAGCTAAAGGAAAACAATGCAGGTATTTTGAAATCAAAGTTTTTTTTTTTCGAAATGAGTAATAATAGTTTTATACAAGTGAAAGACCGAATCTCAAGGATGTCAGTTTTTGCAAAATTAACACATACCGCCTACCCCAAAGCGAGGAAATAATCATATTATGATTTTATCGATATGATATCACGTTTAGTTAGGTATATCGTAGTGCCAAAGACTCACAAGATTACCGTTCCGGTGAACTAAGTGGTTAGAGCTTCTGCCTCGGATGCGGTAGGTCGCGGGTTCGAATCCCGGCTGTCATACCAAAGACTTGCAACATGGTATCAGCAGCTACATCGCTTGGCGCTCTGAATTACGAGGTTAGTGTTATGACTGATTGGCCTGGCTTGAGCTAGACATCACTATAAATCTCAGGGCCCCCTTCGCAAATTGTCTCTTAATACGCCAAGATCAAATCAATTCAATATTTTTCAAGATCAGTTGTCGCAAGGCGCCTAAAAGGCATGGGGCCCAAAGACCGGTGCCTACTCTGCCTTTTGGGTAATCCGACACAGCATGCATTTCATAGAACTGTTAATTTCAGTATCGAATAGGGTAATTGACACCTCCATCTCCTGAGGATAGCGTTAAGATATGAAGCGCCATAACGGACTAAGGCTGGTCCAGTCAGGACGTTGCCGTTGAAATTTTAATGGTATATGTCCAGAATTCCAATTTCAGGTGTTGTATCAAAATCTGTTAGGTGAAAAAGATACTAATTAAGCAAACTGTTCATTCTTTTTTAATTAAACAGTGCAATAGGTCTTGCATACATTGCAGTCTTTTTATTATCCCAAATAGCATATGCAATAAATCAAATAAACTAAGAAATACAAAATAGTCCGATTGAATTACACTCTTTTGATTTCCAAAGTTATTCCCCTCGTGGATCGGTTATCATGTGCAGAGCATGCGTCAGCAAAAGTTTACTTGATACCAATGAAAAGTTGCTTTTCCCGTACATTCTTAATGGTGTCAATAATTTAAATGAATGCAAGTTGTAAGTCACCTTACGTGTTCTTTTTCTTTTTCTACCTGCTGTCTCTACTTTACCACAACCAATAATGTGTCATAATTATGTTCCTCTCCCCCACGAAATATTAGGACCCCGTATATGTACCCTAGGTACAATCGAGTTTATTATATTTGCTTCATCCAAACAGTGGGAGGCGGTCGAGATGTATTCTTGGCAAGAAATTTCAGCACTGTGGTTTGTGGTTCCCTATGGCTTCTGAATTTAAAGTATAACAAGAGTAGCTTGATACTTATGGCTGATTAAAAAGACGTCGACAAATTTTCTAAGCTTAAATTTCAAAGCATTGTGACGTGCTTTAGTTGTTTTTATGAATTCCCTTTAGCGTTGGGTATTTCCAATTTCCACGGAGACTCAGTAGATATGAAGCTTATTTTATTCATATAGTAACCATCAACATGAAAAGATATTGTTTTGGGCTTCTTAGAGGAAGAATCAGCAGTCAAATATATTAAAGTTTCAACTACAGTAGTAAGGTTTTAACAATTTATTTTGACAAAAATACACAGATATAAATAAAGCAAGAAAATGCACCATATTTAAATTAATTGGCTTCTGAGCCCTGGGTCACTATGCTGCATCAGCACACAACGAGCACTAGCCTGATCAAATTTGTATTTTACCAAAAGAAACAATGAAGATTCAGGAATATTTTGACAAGCACAAATTTATTAGACGCTTGAAAATACACTTTGCATGCATTGAAAATGGGGAAGAAAATAAATTACAGTAACAAGACAAGTTATCGTGATTTAAGCAATGAAATTTCGATATATATCCAGTACTTTGTACATCAAGTTACCAGTTAGGGTCACTTATATCAGATTCTTGTAAAAAGTTGTCTGTGTTTCTATCTGCGTTGTATGTAACATCTATCTCTGGTAGTATCTTCGTCGTAAAATGTAATTATATTTATTTATTTTTTATTATTAACTAATTATTTTTATTTTAATTATTTTATTATTAATTGTTATCTGTGTTATAAGAAAGTATTCTGTAGTACTGCATTGTAAAAAAGTAATCGGTGTTGGTATCTGTGTTGTAAATTTTTCTTTTTGTTTTTGTCATTTAATGGCATATTGACATTTGTTTAGCATGTATTCTACTTAGGCAAGTAAAGTACAGTCCTTACGAAGAACACATCCCAATTGCCAATTAGGGCTGATCCGATGGTGGGAATCGAGCCCGAACTCTTTTAGTTACGAGTCCAAAGTCTTACTACTGAACCACTGCTGCTCCATTGGTGTTTTGGAGAGAAGGAAAAGTGTCACCAAGAATTCAAGTCTTTAATATTTCAATATTGTATTAATAAACTTGAGACCTATGTAGGATAAGCAAGTAAAATAATAGAAGAATTATATATATATATATATATATATATATATATATATATATATATATATATATATATATATATATATATATATATATATATATATATATATATACAATAAACTGACGACGAACAGTACGAAACTAGTAACTAACTAGCCTAAGCGCTTTCGACTCTTAATGAGTCTTTTTCAAAGGCAAATACAAAACATATATACGACAAACAAATAAACACAAAAACGTTGTGTTTGTAAACCTCTACATGGCTGTCTTCACATGTGCTAAAACTATAAATACAACCAGCTTGTATAGACTAGTTACGGAAACTGAAAACGTTGTATAATTCCCTAAAAGTCTACAAGCCAAAGCGACATCTATTTTTACTTTCTGTACATATGTAACGCAGATTATATCCCGGATATTTTATTCTATACCGGTTATTCTTATAGTAAAAATTGAAGGATAATAAAAAGATTTAGAAAATGTTAAGTTCTACTAGTGCATAGTTTTCATTTTCAAATCTTCTTGGTTTAGACCGCTTGGTTTCAATGTTCTAAGGCGGCGTATCCAGTATGATTCCTTTTCCTTCCTGGTTTCGGAACTCCAGCTGTGGTTGTTAGCAATAGCGATAAGTATTATATCACTGAAAGTGTGGCCAGGGGAGGAGAAGTGTTCTGCGACCGGGCTTTTGTACAGCTTTTTTGTCATCCAATCAGATCTATGAAGGTTTATCCTTTTGTGTAGCTTTTCAGTTTCTCCGACGTACTGAAGGCCACAGATCTTACATGTGATGAGATAAATCACATTCTCTGTTTTGCACGTTTTGTTTGGACCATGTATGTCTAGTTTTTCTTTAGTCACTGTGCAAGTGAATGTCTTGGTCTCTATCATATGTTGACAGGTTTTGCATCTTTTATCGCCACAGGTTCCAGATTGACTAGGTTGGTTTTGACTAGCGATTGGCGTTAGCTTTGCCCTGACTAGGATGTCCTTTAGGTTTTTTGGTCTCCGGTAAGCTACTACAGGTTTGTTCGGAAGTATTAGGTTTAGTATGTCTGATGATTGCACGGTTGGCCAGTGGTTTGCGATGATTTTACCTACTTTGGGATTGTCTGGGTGATAGGTCAGAATAAATGGTATCCTATCAACCTTTTCTTTCTGTCCATATCTGAGTAGGTCATCACGGTATGGGTAGATAAGTTGGTTAGTGGGGTGCATCGTCGACATCTGTCTGGTACCTAGTCCAGACTCGGCGAAAAGAGATAAAAGCAAGACAGATTATCTCGGCTAGAGCTGCATTTTGTGATGAGAGAGAGAGAGAGAGAGAGAGAGAGAGAGAGAGAGAGAGAGAGAGAGAGAGAGAGAGAGAGAGAGAGAGAGAGAGAGAGAGAGAGAGAGAGAGAGAGAGAGAGAGAGAGAGAGAGAGAGAGAGAGAGAGAGAGAGAGGTACCTTTGCAGCAGCTGGGATTAATGCACTCTTAGCAATCATGATGTCGTATAATTTAGCAGATTAATTAATTACTCAACTGAATGCATGTCAACGTCATTTTCATATACTCATTCGCTTTCGTATTAAACAAAATCGGTGACGTTTAATCTTCATAACATTAGAATCTTGCTACTTACGATGGAAATTTATAACAGTTTAAATTATTAAACATATTTCAATCTCAAGGTTTGCCAAAACAGAAATATTCTTTAGAAATTAGCACTTATGTAAAATTGCCTGTTGATGTGAAGAACTTGTTTTGCTTGCGTTTTATTTCAATAAAGGTATAGACTCTTGAACGGTGATGTAACATTTTATCAGACGATCTTTCTGCATATTAAGCTTCACTATCGGTCCATTTCGCAGGATTAAGTGGCGGCGCGTGTAATCGGAACCGGCATTTTAGACCTCAAGCTAGACATCAGATAAGTATCCATGTAACCCTGATGTTAAAGTCATTTTCTGCTCGATTGCCGTCACTAATTTTCAGGTGAACCGCAAATACAGCGCAGGGGGCAGATATTTCTGATGAATGAAAGAGTTACCTTATAATAGTAAAAATTATTTCAGTGTGGGGTTTTGAATGGGACTTTACTCACCGTTAAAATAATGAATGAAATATTAACGTGTCAGCTACTCTAAATATATCGTTTTGGACATAAACCAGCGTACTCAAGTAAAAATATTTCGACCCCCTGAGTGTTTTCGAAATCACGACAATACCGTCACTCAAAAAGTTTAAGTGTTTTACCATTTTGGAATTAAGAAATATATATTTTTTAGGAATAATTTTCTTTTCTGGTTGATAAGTATAATTTGGATTTCCACAATAAGCATGAAATTTTTCATAATCGTATATTAAGATACTTTTCACAGTCAAGAATCGATTAACTTATCTGTCATTTTATGTTACATTTTTTTGTAACAAACATCATCAAAAACGCCTTTAATATAATTTTTTTAAATATGTTTAACTCTTTTCATAAACATATTTTATTAGGCTTTTTGCAAATTTTGATGGCTATTGACTGAATTTCTTAGACGGTAAGTTCTACGCCAAGCACGTTTTAGAATGGATTTTCATCCATATTTTCACTTTAGTACCATATTTTTATGGATTGTGAACCATCTTAAAATATAAAGGGAAACATTCTATTATCCCACTTTTTTTTATCAAATCGTTAAGTCTAAACCTATTTTCCTCCATATTTAATAGATTTTCTTAGCAAATATCCCCAGACCACTATTTTAAAATCACTTTAATAAAATAATCGTTTGGTTTTTATTTTATACTAATTTTATTAACTTTTTGCCCATTTTGATCTTGCAAGAGTGAAGCGTTTTGTCATTTTTACAGGAAAGGACCAGTTTCTTATTATATGAAATATATAATTTTAAAACACTTACAA